TCCTGAGCCCTCCTCGTGAGCCCAGAAGCACCATGCCTTGGTGACACAGCTCTGCCACAGATCAGGACATCCTGAGCCTTCCCCATCACTGACTTGAGCTTTCAGGGTAGTTTACCTAAATACGATGTGATTCTGATTGCTGTGCATGAAAATGTCACCCAGGCTGAGGCTGGCAGCCTCTGGCCTCTGCACGAGCTCAGGATGTGGGCACTGCCATCCCCTCCAGCCTGGCCCATGGCTCCCTGAGACCCTCCCCACCGAAACCCTGGCAAAGCCTGGAGATGGAATCCTTTCCGGAGCAGTGTCGGCCCCGGTTCCTTCCAGGAAACCCATCCCTGCCCTCTCCCAGATCAGACAGATAGCAGCACATCTCCTTCCTGCCCACCAGCCACATCTCACCCGTCCCTGGTCCCGTGCCCACCACCGTCCCCTGCGCCCATCCCCTGGGCCTGGCTGGGGCAGAGGGATGGCAACGAAGAGAGGGACAGAGCAGGGGAAGTTCCTTCCCTGGGAATGGGCTCCCCAGGCACGTTCCAGGAAACCTCCTGTTGCTATTGTTTGCTGTTCTTGAAGTTCACAGAAATAAATCCCCTTCCTCCACTTGCTTTTCTTATTAGGTTTTTTTTCACCCGCTTAGATAAACAGGCCGTGCCACGGCTGACATGGAGCTTCAGCAACAGCCCTGCCCGAGGGGCCCGAGGCTGGTGGCTCTCCATGGCTGCTCTGGCCCCAGGAGCCTCCCCGCTCCCACCACGCAGAGGGTGTGAAATCCCCAGTGGCAACACGCTCACCTCACCCTGTGCAAAGGCACCGAGCCTCCCCCACACCCCCCCAAGCACACACACGTGCCCCAGAGCTGGGAACTCTGCAGGTCCCTCAAACAGGCCGTTCCCAACCTTTCCCAGCTCCAATGGCTTCTCCTTCCCCGCAGTACAACACCATCCTGAGCAACATGGACAAAATCTACTCCACGGCCAAGGTGTGCCTGCCCAACGGGACCTGCTGGGAGCTGGAGCCAGGTATGGCCCTCGTCCCTCTGCCCCTGTGGGGTGCTGGACACCCCGTGGCCATGAGCTTGTCCTGGTCCCCACATCCCCAGCACGCTGGGGTTGGCAGGTCCTGCTGCTGTCACCCTGGGGTGAATGGGTGCATGGGTCTGGTGCGATGGCGGTGGCACCTCTGCAGAGCTGCTGTAGGATGGGACCTCCTCCTGCCCTTCTCTCATGTCCTCCTTGTCCCCTCTGTCCCAGACCTCTCGGACATCATGGCCACCTCCCGCAGCTACAAGAAGCTGCTCTATGCCTGGGAGGGGTGGCACAACGCCGCGGGCAACCCGCTGCGGGCCATCTACCAGGAGTTCGTGGAGCTGAGCAACGAAGCCTATCGGATGGATGGTAGGGGAAGGCTGGGGGGATGCAGGGACTGGGCTCAGGGACTGGGCTGGGAACTGGGGCAATGGGCTGCCCTGCTGCTCTCCCCACCCCACCTGCATCCGACTCCCATTTCCTCTGGGCCAACGCTTTGGGGAAGGGGCAAAATTCCTACTGCTGTGCCCTGGTCCCGGCTCTTGGAGCTGGGGTGGGGGCAGCCCCCGGGGGTTGGTGTCAGGGGTCCAACCACTGCCTCCCTGGCAGGATTCGAGGACACAGGCAGCTACTGGCGCTCCTGGTACGACTCGCCCTCCTTCGAGGATGACCTGGAGCAAATCTACAACCAGCTGGAGCCGCTCTACCTCAACCTGCACGCCTTCGTCCGGAGGAAGCTGTACGACCACTACGGCCCCAAATACATCAACCTGAAGGGTCCCATCCCTGCTCACCTCCTGGGTAAGAGGTGGGAACCCCCCAGGTCTGTGCCCAGGGGTGCTGGTGGGGTCAGAGGGGCACACACAAGGCCATAGTGGGAGAGGGAGGTCCTGGTTATCACGGTGTTTCTCTTCTTCCCGACCTACCACCAGCTCTGCTCCAGCTGTTTTCTCTCCTCAGGCAACATGTGGGCTCAGCAGTGGAACAACATCTATGACATGATGGTCCCCTACCCCAATAAGCCCAACCTCGATGTCACGAGCACCATGGTGCAGCAGGTGATGGGCTGAGGGACTCATTGGTGGCATCAGGGGGACAAAAATAGGGGGGTGTTGACCAAGGCTTGCACATAATATTGACCCCATGTGAGTGGTTTCTTATACCTGCATCGGGGACAGCAGAAAAGCCATGTCTGGGAGGAGAAGGGACAAAGAGATGACCCCACTCACTCTCTGATAATGACCAAAGAGGCAGTGGGTGGGCAAAGAGGAAGGAGAGTCTGGTGGGACCAGTGCCCAGGTTGTGGGGTGTGACCACACCATCACACAGCTCCGAGACCTCCTGGGGCATCAATCCTGCTCCCTGCTCCTGTCCACATTGGGCACCAGTGACACTGTTCAGTGGCTTTTAGGAATGGTCACGTCATTTCTGGGGCCAGGGCTCCCCATCAGGGTGAGAGGTGCAAGAATCTGGTCCCTTGGAGGGACCCACCTCATCCCCACGGTGCTGGGAGAGCATCACAGGCAGCGTCTAGAGCACGGGCAGCCTGTTCCTCAGCCATAACCCACTACCTGCTGCCCACCAGGGCTGGAACGCCACCCACATGTTCCGGGTCTCAGAGCAGTTCTTCACCTCCCTGGGGCTGCTGGAGATGCCCCCCGAGTTCTGGAACAAGTCCATGCTGGAGAAGCCGACGGACGGGCGGGAGGTGGTGTGTCACGCCTCCGCCTGGGACTTCTACAACCGCAAGGACTTCAGGTGCGTGGGGACATGCAGGGGCCCAGGGCTACAGGGCTGGACCCTCCTCCATCCCCCTTGGTGCTCACCATCTTCAGTACCCCCCAGCCTGGCCATGCAGCCTAATCTGGCACCTTCTGGGGTAAGGGCTTGGGGCACCATGCTGCCTTGCCTTCCCCTCCACCAGGTCATCCTGCTTCCCCGCGGGGTGCTTCCATCCTCACTGGGATCCTGGAGGGTCCTTCCCATCGAGGGGGTGCACGGGCAGCCAGGGTCCCTCCCCAGCTCAGGCAGGGCTCTGTTTTCACCTGTCAGGATCAAGCAGTGCACGACGGTGACCATGGAGCAGCTCTTCACAGTGCACCACGAGATGGGCCACGTCCAGTACTACCTGCAGTACAAGGACCAGCCCGTCTCCTTCCGCAGTGGGGCCAACCCTGGCTTCCACGAGGCCATCGGCGACGTCATGTCCCTGTCTGTCTCCACTCCCAGCCACCTCAAGAAAATAGGTCTCCTCAGCAACGCCACCGAGGATGAAGGTATGGCAGGAGGGTATGCCAGCCATGAAGATGACCTTCATGGTATAGGTGGCCTGGAGGGCTCAGGCACTGCCTGTGGCACCAGGAAGGATTTAGGACATGGCAGGGTGGGCTGCAGTCTAGCAACACAGTCCAGAGCAGGCAAGATCTCATGGCTGTGTGCCTTTCATGCATGGTTGGTTCCATGCATGACCCCTTCTTGTCTCCACGGGCATGTGTAAGACGTATCTTGTCTCCGTGGGTCCATGCACAACCCCATCCTGTCTCTATGGGTCCAAGCACAAACCCTTCTTGTCTCCATGGGCCCATGTAGGACCTGTATTTTCTCCATGGGTCCATGCACAACCCCTTCTTGTCCCCACGGGTCCAAGCACAACCCCTTCATGTCTCCATGGGCCCATGTAGGACCTGTATTTTCTCCATGGGTCCATGCACAACCCCTTCTTGTCCCCATGGGTCCAAGCACAACCCCTTCATATCTCCATGGGCCCATGTACAAACACTTCTTGGCTCCATAGGTCCACATAGGACCCTTCATAGCTCCATTCTCATCATCCCTGAGAGCAGGAGTGGTGCCCTCCAGAGCTTCTCTGTGCCCTAAAACCCCAAGCCTGAAAACAGCATCTTTGTGCTTGATTGGCTTTGACCTTTCCAGCGTTCCTCCCTCCCTCACCAACAAGCCCCAGCCCCAGGAGCTCCGGGGTGGCCCTGCAGAGGTGGTGCCAGGCGGTGACACCCAC